TGCCAAGAGTCATTTCACTGGTTCTACATTCTTCCAAGGATGTTTTTGATATCTCTCATTTGGGTATGTGTGTACTCCTGAGGAAAACAATTTGCTTTCCAGAACTCCCTCTGACACAGGACTATATCTCTTCCTTTGAAAAAGTAATAAATAATGCATACAGGTAGTTTTGTATATAGATGAATAAAATCTTTCACAGTCTTCACACCTTCAGCAAAAGATTACTGAGGATGCAAAAAAAAACCCAAAAAAACCACTGAATAAGGTGAAAGACAGCTTTCAGGAAAGACAAAAGGAAAAGCCAAATCCAGGAAATAAACTATTTACATAAGGTAGGAGAGAGATTGGCCATTAAAGTGATACTGTTCTTAGCTTCTTGGCTGCAAATGAAGTAGTACACATCCTGCATGCATAAACCACGGCATGAAAGATTTCACCCTCTCCCTTTTTATCAAAAAATATCCATTAGTCCCTTGCTACTGATAAATCTGATGGTTCTGCTTACTAAAGCTGTCAGACATATCCTAAGATCCTATTGTTATCTGCTCGCCATCAACAAATTTCTACTTTCAGTTCTCTATTCTGCAATAAAATTTATGTGTTTGAGAATTACATTTTAAAGTAACTATTTACATTTCAACCATGGTTTAGAATAAAGCCAGGAAAAATAAATTACTGCTGTGAAATGATGACCTCTCTTTTCATCAGCTATAGCTTTCCACTCTTTGAGGAGCCTCTCTCAAGAAAGGCTACTCACGTTGGGTCAAAGCACATCTGAAAAATGCAATTGCAATATCAAAAGATTGTGTTTGATATTAAAATGGAATTTCATTATATCTGGGTATGATTTGACAGCAATTTCCTGTAAATCATACTGTAGATCATTCTAAGGATAAGCAGGACACAGAGACAACTAAATGAACCTGCTGCAAATAATGAGAAGCAGCAGATGAGGATGGGAAAATGAAGAAACAGGCCTCATAAGCTAAAGAAAACCAAGCCAATTCTTTGCAACTCCAATATGCTGCACCAAAAGCAGGTTACTTCCAGAAATGAAGTAACCCCTCTCTCCTATAATACAGATTTGTGTTTCCTATGCCAATTTAGTGGACACTAAGGCTTTTCAGAAAACTGTCTCAGCTGCTTTCATTTGACCATGAATGGTTCAGTATTCCACCTGTTCATTTCTTTGCAACAGTGGGAGCACAGAAAGGAGCACAGGAATTTTTGCTCGACCATTCAATAGGAAAGAAAGAGACATCCCATACTGGCAATGACCTGTATTGTTCACAGATGTGAAAAAGAAAATGTAAGCAGATTAGACACATCTGTTAATTGTAGACATTCAGGTTTATTTTGTTATGTTTATGTTTATGTTTAGAACGTAAGTTAGTGGAGATGTGAATTCATGAACACATAATCTAACCAATGACCTTATTAACCAGACACTCATTACAATGACAAAACAAACTTGTTTGATGTATGGTACTATGTGGTATTCTTGAGCCCTTTCATTTGAATTTAACCTGAAATGGTATCACTGAAAATACCCACAATTTGCTGTCAGATTACCTGACAAGCTTGTGATCACAGCTCATGAACTAGGGACTATGGCTGCCTAGTGGAATGAGGAAAAATGTTTTTCTGCACCATGCAGTAGGTAAACAGCTTTCTGTCTTCCCTTTCCCGAAAGAGTAAATACTGATCACAGCATCATGAAACAAATTTCATGCCTCAGTGGTCTAATTTGGGTATCTAACATATGAATTGCGATTCCCTCAAGGCCCTTTCAATTGCAGAAAGTTCTACAATACTCCATAAATTAGCAGACTCCATGTTCCAAGGGGAATAAGAGTGGGAAAGACTTGAAAAGAGGAAAAAAAAACCTAAAAAAAACCAACCAAACAAAAAAAAGTGATGGAAGTAAAGTATTATTTACGGATTTCACTCAGGACTGCTTCAAGGCCTGGGCTTAGACTAAGAACATCTATGCTGTTTCCAACAACTACTTTCTTAGGAAATACATGGAGACTAAAACAATGAATCAACTCACAATTATTAATTTGTTTTAAAGAACATATAGCCCTCACAGTCTAGCAGACTGTAAAAAGTAAAGAATTTGCTCATCAGATAAATGTGTACCTCTAAACTTGAACTCTGTTGCATATAAGCAGAGAGGTACAAAATAAGAGACAGAAGTACAGTAGTGAAATCCTGCCACTACTGGAAACTGCAGAAATGTCACTGAATTCAGTGGGCTTGTGATTTCAACCTGGCAATTTGCCTGTACTTCAGACTAACAATGTGAATCTGAAAAAAAATGACAGGTACTGGAAATCATTTGGGAGCAAATTATCTCACAGTATTCTGAGATTGTCAAATCCAAACAGATTAGGCCTCCCAATACAACTCACATGGCAGAAATGCTGAAAAGCCCCTGATAATATCACTCAACTGTGCTTATTTATTTACTCTGATTTATCCTTAAGGTTTTATAGGTGTAATGAAACAAACCACTGAAAGGATAGTGGAAAAGGCTTACTCTTTCTGGTGAACTAAGCATATCATAGAGATTGCATGATTTGTTTGCAGTACCACTAAAGCCCAAATCCCTCTTACCTGAGTGCTAGCATAAACATTCCCAGGGAATGGTGTTCATTTTATTCTGGCTCTAGTGTATATAAGAATGTCTTTTATTAAGATGTTTTGTAGTTGAATATTGGGTTTAGTGCTACTGGGAACGCAAAGATCCTCAACATCCACTCAACCAGTTATATGATGTACAGGATACCATGTTTTCTGACAGCTGGTACTGACAGCTGCATTGCACTCATAGTCCTGCAGCAGTGTCATGAGATGTCACACACAGGCATATACAGAACTCCTCAGCATCACACCACGAGACCAGAGAGCCAGGTGATGAATGGACAGGTGCAAGGGCTGGGGATCTGTTACCCAACAACACCCTAGTGTGCTAAAATGCAGCTGATCCTGTAGGGAACTGTTATCTCATAGCCTCGATTTGCAGCATCCCACACATGGAGCTGTTTGATCAGTCTTACTGGAAGTTGAGCAGACATCTGTGGAAACTGGCAAACAAGTGCAAAAATAAATCCAAGCTATCCAGGAGATCCTGTCAACTTCTAAAACATTCTTATGCAAAGGCACACCTGGAATTTGCACAACCTTAAGCTGATTACCTGGGGGACCTATAGTTCTACAGGCAGAATAAATAAACAGTGGCCCTGTAGGAAGATAAAATTCCTCTAAAGTCTGTCTGTCTCTACCTTCTTATCCTTCATAGAGAAAAAAAACCTTCATAATCATGTACAAACAAGGAATCAACTAAGATCAGATATTTTGGAATTTCTATGCTGTTAATAAAATAGTTTTGTATTACATAAAGTCTAGAAGGATATTTAATTTCTACAATAAAGAAATTGAATTCCAGCCTGGCAAAGAATTTATGCATGTCCCAAACTCTGTGAAAAAAATTAAAGGTGTAATGGTACTGTCCTGAAACATTCGGAAAGACTGAATGGAATGAGGATTTCCTTACACTGAATTCTACCTTCAGTTTTACAATAGAGCATTACGTGAAAGTTTAAAGGTCCTAGAAAGGATATAATTGATGAAATAGCAACCCATTATTTTCCCATACATGCTAAACCATTTCATGACTAGAAAAATATTTTTTTCAGAAAATCTTGGTGGCTTAGGAAAGACAAGAGTCTAATTCTAGCAATTCAGCAGTGAATACTGTCTTTAAGGGGTTGGAACACTAGAAAAATATCAGCCTTGTATCAGCAAGACATTGGAAATACCCATGCAAATCCAAATAAAACCAAAGGAGATTTTCATTGCCTTCAATGCATTTGATCAGGCTCTTTCTGAACAGACATAACAGTTCATCATTCATATAGCGATAAATATGAGGCTTTGCTTTTCAACTGATTTTAATTATATTTTTGTGTGTTAGATTTCTTGTAACTACTTGGTTGTTTAACCTGACACACTTAAATGAATAATTTACAAAATGCAAATGCAATGAGAAAGGATAACTATAGTAAAAGCCTGAAATTGTTTGAAAGAACAAATAGAGAATTTAATTTCTAAGTCCCACCTGTTACCATCGCCAATTTCACCTATCCCTCTTTCTCCACCTATTGTAGCTTTACCTGACTCATCTTCTCAGACATTGTTTTGCTTATTTTGATTGTCCTTACTTCCTTCTCACATACAATGTCTCAGTTCTGTTGGTTTTCATGTGTGGAAATCACTGGGATCTGGCGGCCACTGTACTCCTGATGCTAAGTCCAAACACTCACTATTGCTTGCTGTAGGGAACAACTCTGCTGGCAGCAAGACAGCTGCTAAACTTGCACCCCATTATTAAAAGACATCAAGCAGAAAGGCATGTCTTTGATACCTACACATATGAGTAAGGGAACACAATCTTTACTGGAAGAAAATGAGTTTGAGACAGACTTTAAATCAAGATCTGATACCCATCTAGAAGCTACATTACTGATTAAGTAAAAAACAATTGACTAAAGGAATAGAAGTAAGATTATTTGGCTCTGTAATACAGAAGGTCAGATTTGACTTTCATACACGGTCTTCTCCCCAGCTAGACTGTGAGAATGGAATTTTAGCTGAAAATACTGAACAGAGATAGAGGTAAGCCAAGAGATATTGTAATACTCCAGTTAGCCAGCACAAACTTCTGTTCTTCCTTGGGGATTTAGCCTTTACTCATGATTGCCACACATAAGGAAAACAGTACCTTTATTTTCAGTAAGGCATTCCACCAAAACAAGGCAGGAAAATCTTCCAGTAGCATTTTCTACAACCAAATACCTACCATACAGCAGCAGCTCAAAGTCACTAAAAAATCTAATACTGATGAAGTGGACAGCCCTTAATTTTTCACGTTTTACATTCCTTCCAGAGTCTCTCCTCTCTCCAGATATCAGTGCATTAGGAAAAAAAGGAATTACCTGTAACCAGAGTTTGTCACCCGAGTCTGTTCCACCATTGGCAGTGCATTGAAAAGTAGCAAACTGTCCTGCATTGACTTCCACACTCTGAAGACGCAAGAAATGGGGAGTTTTTGCTGTTGGAAAAGATACAAGTGTTAAAGTTATGCAAGACCAAAGTACTGGCTATAAAAGATTCAAGCAAATGAAATAGTTCTGTTTTAAAAGGTTTAAGTCACTGACTACACATTAGATTCTAGGCTGGCTTACTTTCATGCCTTGGAAAGAGTAGAATAGAAGGGTGGTGTGTAATTGTTCCTGGTGTGTAAACTACCTCAGCTCAACATCCCTCTTGTAATAACTACCTATTAAAACAGATCATTTTGGAAACTAAGCATGTTTTGAAGACAAACCTATTAGATGCTTACACTACCAACTAGACAAGCCAGTAAGAAATAATGTTATCAGGGGAACAGGTTTTTCTTCTTAACCAAGTACCCCGTCTATAGAGGAGATCCTTTAGAAATGCAGCCCACCAAACAGGTACAATACCAACATAACACCCCTCACCAACTACAGAAGTACTGTTTAAACACAATTCTTTTCAACAACACTGCAGAAAAAACCCAAAACACAACACATATTCTCCATACCAATGCTTATTTTTCTTCTAGAAAGAGAAAACAATCTCAGTAAAAATTAAAGCAATATACCTATTAAACTAATGGATGAAACTGATATTCAAACAAGAATTATATCCACTGAAGTAAAAAAGACAGTCTATTTTTGTTTTAGTAGAGAGAGTCAAGCATGTAGTATAGAAAAATATAGATATACGATACAGAAACCCATCCTTTAAAGCACAATCTTCCCCAACCTACTCAAATCCTACTGCAGCCACGCAGACTACTTGCACTGTCTATACTAATGGATAAATCAGGCTTTGAACATTGCTTTTCATCATGAAAATCTTAGTACTAGCAGTAGAATAGCAAACTAAGCATCTATTTTCTAGCAGAGCATTACAACCATTTAAAGTGTTGATGATATTATCTTAAAAGCTCTTATTACTGGAAGAAATTGCATTTTTAAGGAATTTGTAAATAGCTAGCTTCACAGAAAAGTTGCTAAATATCCAGTGCAAGACAGCATAAGAAGGAGGAGGCAGAATAAAATTTATTATACATACAGACATTTTGTTTTTTAAACATTTTCCAATTAGGACAAAGTTTAGGTCAAAATTATCCACTTATTTGCCTTTGAAACTATTTGTGTCAGAATACCCAGTAAAATTCTTCAGTATGTTCCCCATTTCTCAGCTGTCACTTTTTTCCTTTATTTTTTTCCCAAATCTGCTTTTACCCCACTTGATTTTAATGGTTCCTTGGTCTTCTTAAATTCTAGAAAACTAGCTTTTCTGAATTACCAAGTATGGCCTAAGTGGAAAATAGCATTGGGTTTTAAAAACGAACACACACACACAAAAACCTGGCCATCTACCATAACTCATTGCTTTCATTTCTACACACCTACAATCTGTCTTCTGCTTCATCTTTGTACTACCCAGGCAGCTGCCTATCAAATATTTTTCCCATTTCAATTTCTGTTTAAAGAGTTAATAATTCCAGAAATATACAGAAAGAATATCATTATGAGCTTCACAAAGTTTCAGACACAGAGTAGTTTTACTTTAATTTTCACACTTTTTCAATTTTCTTTAGACAGTTTAACTGGTTTGAAGTCTTAATTTCTAACATTTTGATTACTTCATCAAAGAACTTTTCATTAAAGCTTTTGCATTGCAATACTGTTATGTTAGAATTCTACATGCTATGGGCTATAAACAAGATTTGCAGGTTTTGAGAATTGATTGGTACAAACACACAGATCACACCCCTCAAGATCTGTATAAAAAAACCAGTAAGCCACTAAAATGCTGCCTCAGACTTCTCCTACCTGAACCAAGGATATAAATTCAAAATGCAGAAGCACCTATACTTTCTAACAACATGAGAGCCTGCTGTGTTTATTAGAAATAAGTGACTCAGAAATAACAGCTGCTGATTCTGCATAACTGTCTCTGTATTTGAAGAAATGTGTGTGTCTTCCTGCCATTAACACTAAAACCGTTTTTATGAGGTGCTTCAGTACTAACCCATAGAGCACTTTCTATTTGGAATTACAGCTCTTACTTAAAAGCCACAACAAATGCATGCAAGCACAAAATGGTGTAAGAGGAACAACCACACAGAAGTTGGTATCTTCTTCCCCACTCAGTCATTTGGTCAGCAAGATCACAACCTACTATTCCATGTATGATCTTAATACATCTTAGTTAACAAACAGCAGACATGTGAAGTAATGTTTTATTTAAGTTGCATATTTAATTATGTCTGGATTACCACATTAAAGCTTTATTTACAAGGTCTGTCTTGACAATTCAGGATAATTAAGTATTACATATCCTTAATAATTAGATAATGAAATATATCTGAAGCATAAAGAAGTAAAACAGTGCAGAAATTGAGCCATGAACCTTGGGAAGTACCCTAAGTGACCTTGCTTAGCAAAGCCTCAGTCTTCAGCCAGCTGAGTTCTCTTCTTTCTGAGCCTTGGAAAAAATAATTATATATACTCAGCTGTTGTGCTGCTCATCTCCTCTCATTAATATCTCAGCTTGTGGCTGCACTGAATTTTTGATGCAGACGGAAAACTCATCAACAAATCTTAGAATCACAGAATCATGACTCGGTGATTTTGTTCTAAAGAAGCTGCCATATGGCCCAGTTTGGGTTTGGGACTCATGCTAAGTGCTGTACACAAGGTGCTCATAAGACAGATGTCTTTCAGTGTAATAAGGTGCAATGATGCCATTTTTAGCAACGCTTCATACATATACTCAGCCTGTACTTACGGCAGCAACATTGTTTTCTGACATTTTCCTTATCTTTTACTCCGCATTTATCAAAGCACAGTGGCACATTTATTTTAGGGGGTTTGGCTTTACAACACAAGATAGGTACTTACTACATGGATGTCCTAGAACTAAACAACCCTTTCAATATGTTAAGGACACCTGGAAAGCAAAACACAATCATAAACCCCTCAAAATGTGTTGCTCTTATCATTAAAATTAACCAGAACTTAAATTACATTTTTTCATGTTTACATCATTTTTGGAGATTTACAAGCAGGATTATATATAGCTCGTAGTAGAAATAACTAATCTCCCCAATATTTGCTCTGCCAAAATAGTTATCTAATAAATGCCTTAGTATTAAGATCAGTATTTTATTTCCAATTCTTTGTCTTGCAGGATGAACTGATTCTATTTTAAAAATTACAATTCTGTAGTATACAGAGATTTTCAGGGTATCAGACAGAAACACACCTATTTTCAGGAATGCATTTTGCATGCTTTTAATCTTCCACCAAATGCAGTGAATTAAGCAAAGCAGATCCATTTGCCATGGTTTGTTTAATGGCTATAAATAGGTCACAAAATAAATGGACTGTTCTTGTCATTTGAATTGAGTACACTCTAAAGTAAACCTCTCCAAAGTTTGGCAGCCTTAGCTCTGGACATCCCAAGAATGTTTACATGAAATAGAAGAAAATATGCCAGTAATGTTAGCAGGTACATTTCCACACCAATGCTCAAGAAATTCATGCTAAAATCCAGGTTGTTATTTTTGTGGTTTTTTTTTTTAAAAAAACTTTTCACTTTTGCTCATAAAGTTAACTCAAATTGCCTTTTCTAACTGGTGTCAGGAAGCACCCTGAGGAAGACAAAGCTTAGAAACCATTTTTTGCACATATGCTGTACCTGACCTTGGAAGAGATGCACACCCTTTATACCATATCCCTTACTGAATGATACAGAATGCAAGTATGTTACGAGGATAACATACAGCTCCATAATATATCACAATTTTCTGATGTTGAATAAACACTCTCAGAAGACTGATTCTGATTTTAAAACAAACCTTGTTGTAAGAAAAACTTTCCCACCCTTCTGCCTTTGCCTTCTTCCTTCTTTTTCACTGCTCTACCTGTGGACACCGATACGTTGTTCTCTTCAAGATTTCTTCCTAACATCTGTCCATCTCTCCCTCCCAGCCCCACTGGAATAAAATTGCTGTAACTATGGCATTAACTCTACATGGCTGAAAAGGAAAAAAATATTTTTCATTCTAGTTCTGCCTCCTGTCTACACAAAATTTCAACCTAAAGTGCCAGTGTTGCCACTACATGAATCGTGCTGCAAGAAAAAAACACAAGATGTCACTAAGCAAAGTCCAAACTCTGCCAAAGAAATTTTTCAGAAACAAGTTCAGCAAGAAAAGGGTTGCTCAGTTTGCTTTCTAAATGCCAGATGCCACTCTATTGGCTGTTAAAGTTGGTATTACTGATCCACGGCACCAGGCTGAACAGGATTTTGGCTCCCAGCCTTTAGCGGAACATCCAGAGCAACATCATTCAAAATTTCAAAGACTCTCCTTCCCTACGAAGAAGAAAATCTCCTGATAAAATTTGTCTTAACTATCTTTGGAAGCAGAAGTTCTTAAAGAAGACAAAAAGGAAAGCTTCAGTAAATAACCTGTATTCAGCGACCTGAGAGGTGATGTGCACTAAGTAACCCTAAGTTTTAACAGCAGTGAAAGACCCAAGAATGCAGCTCCTGTTGTCAGTCACTGAACTTTGAAAAAAGAACAAGCATTTCTCTCTATTAAGAAATACAACAAAGTTGCAAGTTCTTAATTTGTGTTACAATCTCTGAAAAAAAAGTAACTATGCTGACGCCCTTGAAAAAAGGCAGAGTGCTCCATTTCCTGAAGAGATACCAAGCCTATTCCACAATGAGAACACTCAAAAGACCATAGGGTATGAGAACAATGGCATAGCCCCAGGAACCTGCAGTTAAGGCAGAGACACTGCAACACAGTAGTGGAGAACAGAGAGCAGACAACCAGGTCTCAGAAATGATGGAAAAGTTACCCAGGGAAATATGCTGCCACAAAGTAATTCACTGAGATAACTGAATCTAGGTGTGGACAAAAAGAGCTGTCTCTAAAAACAACAGAGGGCTGGGGACAGCTACTGATTTGTTACCTGTATTCCCTAATGGCTTGGAATTTTCTGTGTTAAGAAGAAAAATACATTAACAACTAACCTTCTGGGTTTTATTGAAACATAACCTAAAAAAATTAAAAATAAATATAAAAATATAAAATAAAAATAAACATAAGCCCTATATCTCCTATGGAGCATCCAGCATTAAGAGCAGCTGCACAAAGCCATCTGAAAGGCCTACCTGATCGATGATCCCATCATTGCAAAGCATTTTTTTTCAGGTTCTCAACTTTCACATGCTGAATTCTAAAAGATACCCTGAGGAACTGGCCCATGCACACCTGTGGAGCAGCCAGCCAAAGCAGTCAGATGTTTTCTGCTAAAAATGTTACTTCCAAGTAACAGGGACTTAAACTATTTTTTTCAAATGCTGCATAAGAGTGTCTTTTCTAAAGAACTACTTGACTTCCAGCAAGACCAATAACCTGAGCTTTAGAAAAGAAAACATGCAATATCTGAGTCAATCACAAAATAATTTCCGCAATTCATAACAGGGGAGCTTAGCTACAAGCTCTCTGAGAGGCTTTAAGTATCTCAGTATTGCAATCTATTCACAGCCAAAAAAGCTCGTAGATTCCTATTCTTTCAGTTCATAGGCTGAAACTACAACCTTGAAACATTAGCATCAGAACTGCTAATAACAACAGCAGAGAAAAAACTCAACAACTCATACAATTGATCTAAAATACCCTGCTGTACCTCTAGACAAAATAGCGAAAGTGTTATTCCACAAAAAAGCTAGGCAGTGTACCAAGAAAATGCCAATTGGACATACAACTGAATTGCAATTATTGACATTAACGAGAGTATGTTCCAAAGAAAAGTATTACAAATTGAAATGCTGTCAGTTTAATCGTGCTTCCACTAAAAGCAATAGCCAAACTTTAATAATATAAACTTTAATGACTGTAACTTTAAGTCTCTTCTGACATGGAATATGCCATTTTTAGTAAATGGAAAGAGACTCTAAAGTCAATAGTGACATACCATTCTCAGAGACACTGATTCATATAAAGAAGAAAAAATATGCACAAATACAGACTGGTCAGAATGGAATAACAGCAGACCTGAGGAGAAGAACTTGAGGGTGTTGCTGGATGAGAAGGTCAAAGCAACCCAGCCATGTGCACTTGAAGCCCAGAAAGCCAACTTTACCCTGGATGCACATAGTGATATGACAAGGAACGATGGCTTTGAACTGAAAGAGGATGGATTTTGATTAGATACTAGTACAAAAACCTTTACTGAGAGGGTGGTGAAACACTGGCATATGTTTCCCAGAGAAATTGAGCTCCATCTCTGGAAGTGTTCAAAGATACGGTTCACAGGATGGGGCTTTGAGAAACCTGGTTTTATGGAAGGTGCCCCAGTCACAGCAGGAGCTTGGAGTCTGGAGCTAGATGATCTTTAAGGTCCCTTCCAACTCAACTCATTCTATGATTATACAAACATGACAGCTTATTCCAAGTGTAGTAATATAATCCCTCTTCTGTTCACAGGCTGTGAAATACTATCAATTGCTGTATACAAAATCAGTATTTTGTTTTATTTGGATAGATGAATGAAGATTATGGACCAGATATCTGCTAACTAAACATTTTTCCTTTTTAAATTAAAAAAGGAATTTGATCCTATGCATTACAGGTTTCTGAAAAGTCCTGATGAGAGTGCTACACATGATGAGAGAGAGAGACCTGAGAAACACTTCTGGTAGCCCATTTACTCACTGAAAACCTTACAAAAGGGATGTCAAGACTCTTCACAAATCTGGATCAGTGTTCCTAGTAAATTCACTAGAAATGAAACCTAGAAACTTATTTTGCATCCAATATTCTCCATAATTTCCCATTTGAAAAGTAGCTTGCCATGTAGACATTAACTTTTTCACTGCCACCTCCAAACTTTGCCTTTTCTCATGGCTGATGCAACACCTGCAGGCAATACAAAAGACTCCAGTCAAATCAGAGAAAACACTCCAGCAACGTCAGACTGGGCGGCCCTTGGATTTTTTGCCTATTATTCCACCACCTTATCAGTCCGGAAACAACTGGTTAAAACACGGAATTCATTTGCTCAGGAAAAGCTGCTGAGCACTGCCCTGAGAGCTGTTTTACACCGTTGTCCCCGCAGCAGGCCTGCCAAACAGGAACCAGGGAAGCGGCTTAGCGCTGCACTGTCCCTGATCCTCCCTGCTTCACTGAAGAGCAAAATTAGCTTTTCATTCCTGCCACTTCCCCTTGCTACATATGAACAAAGAAAGGGGGTCTGCTCACCAACAAAAACGCTTACTGATGAAAATGTGCAACTCAAGATAACTCGTTTGTTCCAAAGAACAATAGAAATAAACAGGTTTTGTTGCCACACAACCTCACTCTGTAAATTCCTGCCTTTGTTGCTGCAAAATTACAACACTTTCAGTCAAAAGGTGGATTGTACCTAATATAAACACTGTCCTTCACACAACTTAAAAATAGCACTTTGCAAAAACAAGAAAGAGAAAGGAGTATTAAGCTCAGGTTGCAATCCTGCCCCCCCTGCATCCCCAGTGCAGGCAGTGCTGCATCGCACGCTGCACTCTCCTCTCTCCCTGCTGGGCTTTACTGCACAGGGCACCGTTCTTTGACTGCACTGTACAAGGCAGAAACTGGGAACAGTTTCTCTCCAGAAAATTGGCATTGACTTGTACCCTGTGGGTTGAATTCTCCTCCCCTTTCTGACTCACCCTAGGACTACCTGCCTTACCACAGCAGCAGCAAGTGCTTTCTCATCAAAGCCATATGAAAGCAGGTTCCTGACCTGGACCTTCCCAGGCCCAGCAGAGGTCCATCACAGCTTACTGACGTGGGCTGCCTAAATTGTGTTCAGGCCTACCTGGCTGGGAATTCACATCATGCCAACTTCCCTCCCCAACT